TATTCCTATATGCCAGACCTCTTCAAAACTCATGCAGTTCTTGATGATGTGTCTTATCTTTCAAGGAGCTGGGATCTTCTATTTGAGACAGAAAATGACAATGTTAGAATCACCTTCGATAATGATAAGATAATCTATAAAATTCAAGGCCAAATTATGGGCTTCCCAAACTGTCCAAGTTTCTGCAATGTTAATTGAAGCAATGCCAAGCTTATAAGCCTTGATGTCTAAGACTTTCCCGAATTGATCTCTAGCAATACTCGCAACTGAGCAAAAACCCTCCCCATTCCTACATGCATAAAAGTTGATCTTTATATGATCGATATTGGGAGATTTCCAAAATAATTGTCTTCCATGATTTATCCACTTTGTCAATATTAATCTCAACATGCCTTTTATTGTATTAATCACTTGCCATAAAACTCAACATACCTCTGAGTTCTCTAGAATGGATTAATCACTTGCTGATGAAGGGTGATTTGGCCTGACCTAGTAAAAAGGGGACACATGGGATACGACCTGACCAAGAGATGACAACTCAGTCTGACAAGCTCAATTCACAACAATTGAGCTCGTGTATTCAGTCACCTCGGCACAAAGGCCGCCTCGGCTTAAGGCTCACCTCGGAGTAGGGCCACCTCGATATCCAAGCCAGATCGGAACTAAAAGACCAAAGTACCAGTTCGGAACCAGCAACTTGAAGCGCCACGTAATTGACTCCCGCGTAACCAATTCCAGAGGTCTCTCCAACGAATCCCGAATCCCTCGAGATCACGATGAGTTAACAGGCCCCGACTTTTTCGGGATCACGATAAGGACTTATCCTGACTCCGTCGAAATCGGAGGTGGAACGAGATAAGCCTTACCTGTATATTGCTCCTTCGGAAGCGGAGCAAGCTCCATCTCCACATCCCGGATATCCCGGAACTCTTTCGTGTGCCCCACGACTACTCAACTATATAAAGGCTGCAACCCCGATGGCTTAAGGTACGCGTGATTTTTCTGCTCTCTAATTCTCTAGCTCTCTAAACTCTCAAAACTATTCAACTCGCATCAGATTACTAACTTAAGCATCGAAGCAATCTCATCGGGCTAGCCACCCCGGATTCTCTGATCTTGTTTTGTAGATCCATTTAGCTCGTCGTCCAATTGAAAGCCAAATCATCATCCAGTAAGGAGCAGTTCTCTTTCTATCTTGTTGCTAAGTCTTAGTTCAAGAGTTTGTTTGAAAGCGTTCGGATCAAGGCAGAGTAAGTGAGCAATATAGCAGTCGACATCTCATTATTGTGAGCTTAAAGATGTTGTGTTTCGACCGAAATTCGGTGATGGGTCCAAAACCAACAGAACATTTTCTCGATCTGAGAGGACATGGAGGACGAGAAAAAAATCCTTGGTTGTCTCGAATGTGGGTGTGTGGGCAATGAACATAATCAGCTCCATCGGCATTATCATGACCAACAAGCAGACCAACAAGCAGCTTATGTCCCATAGCGGCTACGCCTTCAGCTTTTGTCTCTCTTTGATTTGACACCTGATCTTCTTATATCTCATTGTACATTGTGAATTATTGAATTTTACTAGATTTCCTTGTAAATTATTGCCTAAGTGTGGTTATCTTTTTTTTGTGGTTAGGGTGGTTATGAGCAGAGTTTTTCATGAGCTACGTGAAAAACTTGATTTAATTTGGTTTAAATCAAGTTTTGAGCCGAGTTCAAGTCCAACATATAGGTCCATTGTTAATTAAGGCGAACTTGAGTATAATAAAACCCGGCTTATGAGACTTGTGAGCCTAATCAAGCTTTTATGTTTATACATACATACATATCTATATATATATATAATAATTAGTTTTTTAATTTTAAATTTTTTATATGTATAAGTTTTTATTTTTATAAAACATTTGGCTCATAATCGAGCTTGAGACGAGCCAAACCAAGCTCGAATTGAGCTTGAGCTTAAGCTCGAGCTCAAGCCTCATAGTGTATTGGTAAGCTGAGCTTGATAACTAGATATTCGGTGCGGCTTGAATCCATCCCTACTTGGTTTTGTAATCTTGATTTTCTTTCTTATATAGATTCTTATTTTCATTTGTGGGTCGGTTCTTGCTGTTTGATTTAAAATTTCCAATAGACTTGAATTTTTTGTTTCTCTAGTTTTGCCTTACTGTTTAGTTTCCCTTCTTTTCATTTTCTTTTGCTATAATTTGCTTGAGATCTCTCATCTCAAGATGGGTAAATTGGCAACTGAGTGTAACTTGTCCCGCTTTTTTAATCAGCTCAAGCATCTCTTTTCTATTTAGGCTTGAAAGTGATTCTATAAGATTCTTTTGGATTTGATAACTCATCTATGTTCATCTATGTTCTGATTAGTTTCTTTGGCAAGTAAACCCTCTTTTCTTGAGATTAGTTGTGGGAATTCTTGATTTTGTTACTCGCTCGAGGGGAAATTTTCCCTTTTCTTTTTTTCCTACGTTTAATATAATTTTCTGCTTTTTCAACAACTTTGACTAGGTTTCACTTCGCCGTGATTGCATTGGTTGGTTTCATGTCAAATGTTTTCGGATATTTTGCTTCTAAACATGTACCTTTATGGGAGCTTCTCTTGTTATCAATGGTAGCCAATATGTCAATTATGAGGATGAATTTAGAGTCCTTTTGATTCACAGCCGGAATCGGAATTGAAATCCTCTGGAATTAGAATCGGAATGGTCCATTCTCATAATCTGTTTGGTTCCAACAAGAATGAGAATGGGAATTAAAATCAGAAAGAATGGGATTTCATTCCCAAGGGTGGGGCAGGGATTGGGAATGGTCATTCCCTCAAATGGGGGAATGTCATTTTAGCATGAATGGGAATATGATTCCAATTCCGTCCAATCAAACAGTTCGAATTAAAATAGCCAATTTCAATTCTGATTCCAGACTCCTATTCCGGTGAACCAAACAGTGCCTTAAATCTAATGCTAAACTCTATAGGATATTATCAATTAAGAACTAATAGAATAGATTTATACTTGACGGAATTCGATAGGATTAATGTTTTAATAAAGAAAGAGGAACATGGTAAATTGACTGTAGTCTCATCACGAACTAAGAGACAGGCTATTCGAGCTCAATGACATCTTCGCATCATCTCTTCTATGATGGAATACCCATCAAAGACTTCAAGAAAAGAATGGAAGTATTTTTGGGTCAATTAAGTTTTAAGAGAAAATAACAAATAAAAAAATAAAGAAAATTTAATAAGGTATTTTGGTAATTTAATGCTTTATATCATTTAACTTAACAGCCAAAAGGTATTATTTATTACAATGTAAAAGATTATGGGTCTTTATCGCAAATTAAAGTATAAAGGATCTTTAGGAGTCATTATAATTTACCCAAAAATTAAGCATATGTAGGGGTGCCAATTGGATTGGATTTGGTCCAATCCGATCCAGTCCAATGTGAGTCCATTATAAATGGATCAGGTCCAATCCAATGAATATTTTGAATCAGTCTAATTTAATGTTTGGACCATCTAATTTGTTCAAATTCATTTTGATTTAGATTGATTTTAATTCAAACCTGTTCATCTACACCTATATTCTTATTTTATATCAATGGACTAGATATTGACTTAATCCAACCCAATCCAATATAAATTTATTACGGACGGATCAGGTCTAATCCAATCTCATAAATATTTTGGACTGAATTAGTTCAATCCATATATCTTCTTGATCCGTCCCGTCCAATCCGTCCAAATTGAAATCCAAAACCGGTCCACTAACACCCTTAAAGCATATATGTAATGTATAATAGATATTCCCCACGAGAGCATGGATGTCGTGTGAGCAGAGTTTTTGATTCCAAGAGACGTGGTTTCGAAATTGGCACTGTGATAAACGATCTCGCTCATGAGGAATATTTGACCTTAGAATGACATATATATCCCTGATTATGTGTGTGATACTGTGATAACCACTACCCTGGGCTTGACAACTGTTTTGTTGCCTTTCATGATAATCCAATAATCCTGCATCACAGAAACTTCGGCCTTGTCGACTGGAATGTAGAATCCTGAGCTTCCAAAGTGAACTGACGACGCTACACGCTTGGGAATACGGCGCCGTCCAGTTTTAGTGGGAAAGATCCGACGCTTCACGCTACGGTTGCATGATCCATGGCAGAGATCCTCTTTTACGTTACTAGATAACGGCAGCAAATAACGTATGTTTCAGAATTCAGACGTGTCAGTGAAACTCAAGTAAGGAATTTTCGCCTGGAGATGGACACGTATGAAGGTGAATTGACCACAATACCCCTACTATATTGTCCTTGCGCCACTTGTATTTACAAAAATAGCCCCCTATGAATGATTCCAAAAATTAATAGAAAAAAACCCAAGGCCAACAGAAATCTTCTCTTTCCGTTATACCCGCTGGATCGGAATCTTTTCAAATTTAAATTTTTAGGTCATTCCAATCTAATGGTTTTATAAAAGTGAAGAAACCCTGACTGTCCTTGGATAGTAGTCTCCGGTTCATTACTTCAATTCCATCTTTTTTCACTGTGTTCCATCTGTCTCCTGAGCAATGGTCGGTGATGTTGACCCTTGCTCTACCACACTTGGGTGCTCCTCTCGGGAAACCGTTGACGTCCCTAAAAGTTGGGGCCCACAAGAATACTAGAATCGACGGCTGGAACAATCTCAAGAGTTTATATATGAGCAAAGCAACCATTCCAACTAAACGGACGGTTCAGATTGAGTTTAGGCTTTTCATGGCCGTGGATAAACGACAAACTTTTGATTTGATGAGTTGATCACAGAAACAAAAGTATCAATCGATGGTGACAAGGGGTCACAGTGGTACCTGTCTCACGCGGAGTCATAGACCACTCTATTGGACGTTCAAGATTTTCCTCGAAGAAGTGCAGGTAGACCTCCACGTGTCCCAGTGGCCCAAGATATAGGCCTTGAGGCTTGCCTTCCCTTCTATAAATTCATTGTAGCCCAATTAGGCCACCTCTCAGAAAGCACAAAACCAAAAAACCTCCATTGCTCTCTCCCTCTCTCTCTCTCTCTCTCTCTCGCATGGAGAACATTGAGAACATTGAGAACATTGAGAACATTGACGAGTACAGTCACTATTGGGAAACCAAAAGATTCATTCAGAATGAAGAGCTTGACAGGTATTAGTTACATTCCTATTTATCTCGGCTCTAAGATGAATGAAATTGAGGATGTAATTTGATCTGAGCAGTTGGGCATTGGATGAGGCGTTCTCCAGCTACTACGATTCAAGTTCGCCGGAGGGAACGGCGACGGCGTCATCCATCGCTGCGAAGAACATTTTATCGGAGAGGAACAGGAGAAAGAAGCTCAATGAGAGGTTGTTTGCACTTAGATCAGTGGTGCCTAACATTAGTAAGGTAACCGATTAAAAGTCAAGACGATTTCCTATTTCATTGCTCAACTATTTCGAATTGCCAAGTTCCTATGTTTCCTTGCAAGAAGTTGTTCTTTACAGGCTGCAACTAATCTTGACTGCTAATTCGTTAGATGGACAAAGCTTCGATAATCAAGGACGCAATCGAGTACATTCAACAGCTACATGAGCAAGAGAGGACAATTCAAGCTGAGATACTGGAACTCGAATCAGGGAAATTTAAGAACAGCCCCGTCTCAGACGTCGAACAGACTTCCGTCTACTCGAGAAAAAAGAAGAAGAGAATTGATCAGTGTTATGACTCGGGAGGATCAAGAGCTTGTTCAATCGAAGTCCTTGAAGTAAGATAAAATGTTTTCCTCTTCTTGATTTCTAGATTCCATAAGTTTCTGAAATTAAGCGTTCTGATAAATCTTTTTCATTATTCTTTGCAGATTAGGGTCTCTTATGTGGGAGATAGAACTCTGGTTATAAGCCTCACTTGTAGTAGAAAGACAGACACCATGGTCAAACTCTGCGAGGTCTTTGAGTCGTTGAAGCTCAAAATCATCTCCGCCAACATCACTGCTTTTTCCGGCAGACTCCTGAAGACTGTCTTCGTTGAGGTGATTCCTCTCTCTCTCTCTCTCTCAGCGGCTGTCTACGTTTCTCTGTCTAGCAGTTTACATGGTAGGAAACTACCATAATACCCCTATTACTAATAGGACAGATAAGCCTCCGGTTTGTCAGGCGTTCGTTGCTCCATAAAAACCCAACATCGCTGTAGCCGGTGGCCGGTAGGAGGAGAAATCCACTACGCCGTGGCTAAAACTGTGAAATCGCGGCCTTCGATGTAATTCAAGGTTGGGGGGTGGGGACAGCCACACAGGCCACAGCAACAACGTCGAGGGCCGTAATTCACAGTTTTAGCACGGCGAAAACCACCGGCGTAATCGCCACGTGTCCTGTGTTTTCTGGGGCCCATGAGGCCACGACCCTCCCTACTTTCTCACCAAGAGATTTCCGTAGCCACCACAACAGCCACAAACACGTTTAGATGATGCGGATTACAAATATTTACCGGAATCTTAAACTATGCTACTTAGACAGTTGAAACTTGAAACTCATTGATCATGCTTATTTTATCGCGGGACCCATCTCCGATGGCGACTGCCTACTGATGCTCTGTCACATGGGATACTTGTGCGGGCTTAGTGAGGAGGAGCACCTTGTCTCCCGCATGGTGGTGGGCCCCACGTCCCTTTATTCTTTTAATGGAAAAGAAAAGCTTCCTCTGGACCCACCAAGAATCATATCATATTCCTGACTGTTGGATTGGAATAACCGTCTCATGAAGCCTGTACTGACCTGATCCAGCGGCAGTTGTGGACGGTACTGGCGCCTGGCGGTATTATCTATGGGGGCTCACCATACCAGACCAAATTACATCACCATCAAGTTATTTTATGCCTTTCTCTGGTTAATGGGCCCACCTAGCTCAGCAAAGTTAGCTGTGTGTGCACCAAGAATTGGTCGCTGGCTCTCTTGATTTCATACTCTGGATCCACGGTATTACCATAGGTGCAGCTTTGCTAAACCTTTGGTTCATACACTTCTCTTTTTCACATCCCCTGTTGTGTGGGCCCCATTGATCAGGCTACAACTAATCGACGGCTACGGATCGAATTTAAACCATCTCCTTTCTAAAATGCATAAATGAAAACGTCAGCCTTAAATACTATTACCTCGTCACCCTGGAATATGGAACCCAATCATCCGGATCCGGTTCTTGTTAATAAATAGTAAAGTAATGATAATAACAACACTAAAACCCGAAAGTTCAGCTCTATTGGTATCGTATCACGTATCGCCATATATATGGATTCGGGTATTGAATTGGTGCCAGAGGGTATTTGGATACTACAACAACCCTAGTGCCTCAGATTAGCAGGTTCTTGGGCCTTAAAGCATTGGACCCAATTAGAGAACCCAGTCCAGTTTGGTCCATACTTTGACCTTGTCAGGAACGAGGTGTGATCCGGGTCTTGATTAATAGGCACCCGCTAAATTCATGTGTATATGAATATTTAAATATATCGAAATATAAATAACCTAAATCCACTTAATCCGGATTTTCATGTACCCGATTGTAACAACTATTCGAAACTTGATGGATTGGATCCGGAACCTCCCTGTCATACCCGAACTGTAATCCGGTCAACCACACCCGCCTAATTGATATACGAGACCGATGTCATAAGCCACAGATATGTCTAATATCAATTGGAAATTTGGCATGCATGGGATTAGCGGTGGACAGTAGACCACAAAGACATTTATTTCTTATTTTATCAGATTTCTGACAAGGCGCCACACATTAAATATGAGAACCATTTGGCTGAGTATCTCAGGGCGATCTTCAATCGATTTTAATGTGGGTCATCTAATTTGCTCTGACAAGATAAGGATGTAGATATATAAGAAAGGGATTGATGCCCAAATGTCCAATATCTTCTCCTTCTATGTTATTTCACTCAAATTCCACGAAAAAAAAAAGAAATCCTTAATTTCAAGTAGTGGGGTTCATTGATTGAAATTGTGCATAGAGGCTTTATTCGAGTTTTCTTGGTCAAATTAATGCTTTTCTTTTGCTTGTGGGTGGGGCAATGCAGATTAGTTAGTGATAATATGATATGTATCTTCAAGTCTTTTCTGTGATTCTGATTTCTGACTTAAAGTTTGTTGATTTTCTTCAGGCGGACGAAGAGGAGAAGGAACAATTGAAGATAAGAATTGAAACAGCCATAGCAGCTTTAAATCATGACCCACAAAACCCTGTCAGCTACTAGAGAATAATGTCCACCACTTTGTTTCTTCATGTAATGGTTATGATGAATGTTGTCATAGTCACTTGTATAGGTTTTTCCTTGGATTTACTCCAAGAGACTCAGTAATCTTGATTTTATCTGGTCTTTGTTTAGTCTTTAATGGCAGAAATGCACATTTGTTGCAATTTGGTGCTGAAGCATTAACTTGGTCACACTTTGAATCCTCAATAATACGTACACTTTTCAGAAAATAATGCCAGTATGCAATTCCTTGTTTTCCTCGCCCTAGAGATAAGGTGGGACCTATGAATCATGCTTTGTCTCTGTTTAAAGCTGTCAATGGGCTGGGTCTCATTTAGGAAAGGGTGTAATATGATTGACCAGAACGGGCCCAATTATTAATCAGGATAATTTGGCCCGATTAGACCTGATTATGCTTTGAGATCTATAATTACCTTATATATGATAAAAACAATTTTAGTATTTTACTTTTGATAATATAACCATAATAAAAGTGACAATAAAATAAGAAACTGTTTATACTTTGATAAAGCAAGTCACAAGTGTTCTAATTTTAACCAAAATTATTATAAAATGTATCCTTTTGAATATAAAATATAACAAAAATTAAAAGAAAACTAGGAGGCCTTTGTATATGATTTAATCATATCAATTCGAGACAGCAATAACTGATCTTAACCCAATTATTAATCAAGACAAAACCATAAAATTAAAATCAACATAATCAGTTCAGTTGGTTTGGTTCCATCGATTAAACCCAACTCATTGACAGCTCTATGTTTTACTCAAGAATTGCACAAACTGGTGCGCTAAAGTTGAGGGTTGTAATTGTGTGGGAGTTGAATCAAATTCAAATAAATTTACATGAATATGCAATACTGAATCATTAAAAATAGGAAACTAAACATTATTGAAGAGTGGAGAAGGAAAGTGCCTTTAAATAAAAGAAAAAAAAAAACATAAAGAAATGGAGTGGGGAAGGAGAGGATAGAGTCGGAATACAAATGAATGTGCAAGTCACTGGAGTGGCAACTAGTTGAACTTTCTAAGGTCCCAGTCGTTTTTACTTACCTATGTAAATAGGTTTCTTCAGGCAAGTATTTCTCAAGTAAAACTTGCTATTCTTATGCAATACAAGTTACTTGGATAAAGAGAGAGGTGCCAGGGAAAGAACGTTATAGGCATATGGGTAAATTGCTTATCCACCTTAGAGGAGGGTATCGGTTACCCATGTAATTGTATTATTTGATATCTTTGATTAATGTTGATGCTCGGTTTAGCCAAGGGCAACAAAGTAATTCCACTCCCAAACTTCAAGAGAAGGCCGAAGGCTTTGAGGGTTCAGAGGAGGTGTGCCAAGACCGAGAGCTGTAGGTCGAGGCAGATCATCTCCGAGTACTGTAGAAGCTGAGGGCTGTCGGTTGAGTGGTGAAGTCCCTTGGAGTCTGAGGTTCTGCAAGACAATAGATATTAGAGGCCCTAGGTGAGAACTCGAGGCAGAGGCTCCGATGGTCAAATTAGTACGAGGGTTGAAGAGAGGGATCTGGTGCAGACGAGGGCTCTAAGGAGGGTGCTCGTATGCACTAGGCTCCTAGGGGGCAAGGTCCTTCACTTAAGCTTAGTGTTAGAGCTGGTATTCATGGATCTTTTACCTGGAGGGGGTACCCCATATTTATACTTGAACTACCTGGAGGTTGGTGGAGATGGACGCCCCTGATGAGCTCCATACGAGGGCGGTCAATGGAGGAAGCGGGGATGCTGGGGCACTCCACTATTGGCTCTGTACAAGGGGAGCAGAGTAGCCCTCGCCATGCTGGACCAGGACCCTGGCTGGCATCCATGGGCTGGGCCAGGTTACCCTACATCAATTACCATCAGACCCAATATAGTAATGCAAGGATTATGGTCAATTTACCGGCTGACCAACTTAATTACCCCACCCCACCCCTCCCAACACACACACACACTAAATACATTAACTGAACTAGGTCTAAAGATTGAGGCATGCTGATAATGTACCCTCCTGTGAGGGGGTGTGCTACGAGGGTGGTTAGACCCCTATGAGGGGTTGTGCTACATACCCTCCTGTGAGAGTGATCATGCTGATAATGTAGTTTTAAAGAGGAGAGGGGAGATGATTAAAGGTAGAATAGAAAGAGAACGATGATCCCCTTACCCTCCTGAGAGGGCTTGTGTTCTAGCAATTCTGGTGGAGAAGAGTACCGACAGAGTCGACAGAGGAGGAAAGGAAGAGATGGTCATAGGTACGATAGAGAGAGAAGAATGATCACCCCCTTTGGCCCTTTACGTGGGAATGATATCGTTATATATTAGATATCTTCCTTTTTTCTTAAATGAGAGGATCGATTTCTAGAATCTTCCGGCATCTATGCCTTATCAGCAAAAGTGGCCAGTTGTCAACCTCTAATTTGTAGTCATACTGCTCTTATAATTTGTTCTGAATTACTACTTAATCAGACTGGTGATTGGATTAGGATAAGACCGATTCAATTCCAAATCAAGATGGACTAAAGCGGATTTGTGCTGGATTGCATGTCTATACTCTTACAAAAAAAACCTTCAATACTACTTTGTCTAAGGACAACCACCCTTGAGAGAGAGAGAGAGGTGAAGCCATGGATGGTCCTAGAGGATGATTAATTGATATTAATTAGCCTTTTTCTCTCAAATTACAAATTTGCCCTTATTGATTTATACTTCTGATTGTTTTACTGAGGGGTTAAATGTGGAAAAAGGATAAATTGACAGATATATGTATGCAGAAGGTTGCTAGCTTCCTGTTTCATCAATTAATGGGGCAATATGTATCTGGGCATTTGATGGGTTTTCATCATCTAAAGAGGCACGTGAGCTGGGTCCATGGGTGCAATATGAACCTGCTTGGATACTTCTTGCTTTAAAACACTGCATGGAACACGAGTATCATGGTTTGGCCAACTTCAGATGTAAGAGCAGTCAAGCGAGTCAATCTTCAAACCGAGTATTGACTTCCTTCAAATCGTAAACCTCCTACGTCTAATAGACTACGAAAGAGACAAAAGCCTCTTTGCGGCGTCAATCGTTACACACTTGGGCCACTGGTCTGGTCTTTGCTCCTTCAATTTTATATAGAAAATACATGTGCATGCATTTAGTCTTTTCTATGTACAAATTTCTCTTGAATAGGAAAAAAGGAATCTGAACATTTTTGGTGTCATGTTTGTCATGTTGCATTTACTAATATTTATTGCATATTATATTTAGATATCGGGGTGTTTTGTAGTGTGGATGAGAAATTAGTGGGTATGGATTATTCCACACCACACCATATGACAGAGATTAATCCACATCACACCACAGTCCAAACTTGTTCTGAACTATGGACAAACTATATGGACTGGATTAGTCCACACCCACAGTGATGTTTTGTACGCATGGTGTGGAATACCTTTTGATTTTATGTATCTCATATACATTTTATGAATGATCTACACAATTAATCATAAATATCTAATTTTTGCATTTTATATAATAAATATATTGAAAAATGCATCAATGAATTAATATTAACCAATAAATATTATTTTTTATAAAAACAATAGTAAAATAATTAAAATTTTAAAAATATATTTTAAATATTTAAAAATATTATTTTATTAATAAAAACAATAAAAATTAAAAAATTAAGTAAAATAATTAATATTTTATTGGAAAAAATATTAAAATGTGTAATAGACAATAGGGTTTCAACCATTCAAGGAGAGTGTGAAGCAGGGGATCAAAAATAGACTGTAAACGAGCCCTAACCACGAGTTTTTGCCATGGATGAGAATTTGTGGTGTGGATGGCATCGGTCCACAATAGCATGGACCGGTCCTATCCATAGCCAGTCGAACAAATGTTCATCCCACGGACGGGACAGTCCGTCCACGAGATGAGCATGGTGTCAAACACCACCTTAAAGCCTCAGAGCATTTGCAACCGCATGTCTAGAATATCTCCCATATTTGCATGCATGTATGTTGTCATTCATATGGGAGATATTCTCCATTCATGGTTGTAATGTGTTGTAAGGCCGGGGTGAGGTGTACTCTATGAGGAGTAGTCCAAATTCTTTACAAAGTGTATTTTTTCATGTTTAGCAAGTAGGGGTGGCAAATGGGTGGGTTAAGTAAGGGTTGAGTGCCAACCTACCCATATTTGCATGCATGTATGTTGTCATTCATATGGGAGATATTCTCCATTCATGGTTGTAGTGTGTTGTAAGGCCGGGGTGAGGTGTACTCTGTTGGAGAAATGGGGTCATTGTAACTTTGGAGGAGAAGCTCTAAGGCGCATCTGAAGACACTGTCTTTAGAACGTTATTTGCCCCCACTCAGTTTCACTGAGTTTGTTGTTGGGTTACAAGCAAATCTGTTCCCAGGATACAACAGATCCTTGGGCGAGAATCTGCAACCAGCAAAGTTGAAGAGTCTCCAAAGAAACCTTCTGTGAGACTGTAGCAGACCAGACTGAGAGAGAGAGAGAGAGTGAATTTC